GAGAGAACTGAGAACCGACGAGGAGAGATCGAGAAACGAGAGATGAGAAAGAGAGCAGACAGATGAGGAAAAGGTAGAGAAAGAGGTGAGAGAGAATGAGCGCGAGGGGGAGAAAGAGCAGCAGAGTAGAGTAAAAGAGAGAATGCAGAGAGAAGAGGAGAGAGAGAGAGAGAGACAAAGAGCGAGAGAGAGAGAGAGATGAGCAAAGAGACGAGACGAGACAGAGAGAAGAACGCAGAGGGGGAGGGAGAGCGTGGAATGCAAGCAGAAGTAAGATATAGGTTCTGTCGCCCTTCAATTTTACGTTCGCGGATTTCTGCTTTTTGCGCGGAAAGTGCAAAAACGTTGTGTGTTACACACGTCACGCTGGTCACTCTGCTTACACTCCCCCTCACCTCACCACCCGCCCACACAACTCACTCTCTCTCTCTCTCCTTACACCCACTACGCACACACACACACACACGCTCTCTCTATATATATATCTCTCCCCCTCTTTCTCTCTTTTTCACTGACACACACAGTTCTTCCTCCTACAGACCAATTCCTCTCCCTTTCTCTCATTCACACACCTCTTCCCTGTTCCTCTCACCTCCTCCTCCTCTAACTCACTCACCTTCCCATTCTTTCCTTCTCTCCCCCTCCTCTCACTCACCTCCTCCTCCTCCAGTACGACCTCCAGTGGTCTGACCTTCCCCGCATCCACATCTCTGTACTCGGGTGGCGAGCGAACGTTCCTAGGTGGCAGCACCTCAGCGCGGTAAAGCTCGTCCGTACACGACTCGCCGACGTCATTGTCGAAGCGATACTCCGGCGGCCAATCAGCGCCTTCGCGATCGAGATGCAGGATCCCCTTGACGACGAAGCTGTCCTTCTCCCTCGGCTCCTCCTCCTCCTCCTCCTCCTCGCTCTCCTCCTCCTCTTCCGCGCTCACACCGGGGCTGTGCTGCACGTGGAAGACTTTAAACTCCGGTTCACACGCGACCTCCATGGATTCGAACTTTCCGTCTGCCAGCTCGTGGTTGTTGCCTAGGTAACGAGGACGCGGTGAACGATCCGCTGCTGACGGATGCCTCGCGAATGAACTCGACGGAAACCGATCGTTTTTTGCAATTTAATCTTTTCTTTTGCGGTTTACAATTTTGTTCTGTTCGAATTTAGAAACGTTTTTTTGAGAATTTAGACACAATCTTTTCTTTCAGAATTTAGACATCTTTTGTTTTGGAACCTCTTCTCTTCTAAGAACATTCGATTCCTCTCAATCATAACACTCAAACCTTTAATCGCAACAAACAAAAAAACTTTCCTAACATCAAACCAACCAGCCGATCTTAGTCTGCACCCGTCTCCCGTATAACCACCTCGCCGCAAGGCGCGTCGGACGTGCGCCCGTCTACGCCGCCCACCCCCACACAGACACACCGCACCTCCCCCTCTCTCACCTGGCTCGTCGATGACAGAGCAGGGCACCTCCCCCTCTCCACCGATGATGATCTCTCTGGCGTCTCCTCCTCCTCCTGCGTCGCTGAGGACGGCGGAGGCGGGACTGTCGAAGTCAGTGTGACGATCGCTGGGGATGGGTGACACGGTGTCGTTACTGTTATAACCAGACTCCGTCGGGTAGGACAGCTGACTAACCTTGTTGTTGTGTGATTCCTGCAGTTAGAGAGAGAAGCATGAGGAGAAGGTGGAGCAGGAGGAAGAGGAGGAGGAGGAGGAGGAGGAGGAAGAGATGGAGGAGGAGGAGGAGGAGG